CTCTGTACACAGTGTCTTTGCATCACGGTCCTTTGTCTTTCCCAATATTATGCTGTGGAGAGGGGCACTGGAGTGAGGGTGACTGGGGTGGGGGAAAGCATTCTGGGGATGGGGGGTTTAGAGGTAGATTCAGGGTTCAGGGGGAGCTACAGAAGACGGGGAAGTTCAAGGGGCAGGGAGACTTGGTGCTCAGAGATGAAGACATGGGGAAGGATGTGCTATGGGATTTGGGCACAGGGAGATGGGGCGATGGGGTACACAGAGGTTTGGGGTTCAAACCTCTGTGGCCAACACTGGGCCAATACTGGGGGTACAGAGAGACTCAGGGCACAGGGAAGTGGGGTTTTGGGCGGCAGGGGATAGGCCTCAGGTTGAGGATATGGTGTGGGTGCTGCATGGGCCCTTGGGCTGTGGCAGGGTTAGGGTGTTTCAGGGTGGCAGGGTACAGAGAAGCACATGAGGTTTGGGGGTGCAGGGGACTGGGGTCAGGGGAACTCACTTGTTCATGAGCACCTGCCAGTATGCCTTGCGGGATACCGGGATGTAGTGCAGATCCCCTTTGTACCGCTCCTTGTTGATGCCTCCTAGGAGAAGCTCCCCCCCAACATTGTCGGATGAGTTCCTGGTGAACAGAGGGGGAGGGTTGGGGTGGTGGTGGTTTGAGACCTCACCTGAAGGGAGCCAGGGAGGGGCATGGAGGAAGAAGCACAGGTCTCGAGCTGGGGGAGGGGCTGTGGCTGGGGGCTCTGGAGATGCGGAGGGCAGAAGGGATAGGGAGTGTTTGAGTAAAAAAAAGAGAGGTCAGGGCATATGGAATTGGGTGATAAGGGGCTGCTAGGCTGGCCCAGGTCTTGGGAGATGAAGACCTTTCATGGGGGTTGGATGTAGAGTGGATCATTGAGTTCGGGGGGAGCTGAGGAGGGTCTGGGTGTTTCAGAGGAAGCTGAGGGGGTTGTAGATATATTAGGGGCCTAGTACTATGGGGAGGAAGGCTGCAGTGGGAAGCAGCAGAGGGGTCAGGGCTGTTGGAGGTTTTGGGGGTGCCATGAGGAGGTGGGGGCTTGGGCACTGGGGGCTGCAGGGGGTTGGGCGCTGACCTGCTGAGGTAGAAGGAGAAAACATTCTGGTCCAGGAGGCCACGTTCCATCATGTTGTCAAAGACTGGGGTGATGCCACGCACCGAGATATTGGGGTACGCCAACCCTAGGATCCCATCAAACTTGGCTGCCACGAACACTAGCCCTGGGAGGTTGACGGCTTCTGCAAACGTCTGGTTCTGCACTGTCACGTTGGACACCTGGGGGCCAGAGTCAGGATGGGACCCAGGCATCCTGGCTCCCTACGTCCCTCCATCCTTAGCTGCTTAGATCCCACCTTCCTTCCCAAAGCCAGACCCAGAGTCCAGGCTCTCAGGCCCCCTCAACTACTAGACCCTACTCCCTTCCTAGGGCTGGGAGAGAACTCAGGTGCCCTGGCTCCCAGCCCAGCCCGCTCTAACCTTCAGACGCTGGGACCGAACCCAGGCAGCCTGGCTTCCAGCCTGGCTGGCTCTAGACCTCATACCCCTCCCCTTCCCTCCTGGAGCTGGGAAAGAACCCTGGCATCCGGGTGTGCACTCACAATGACGGTGTCCTGGCTGAGGAAGCCTTTGAGGCTGCCCCTGCCATAGTGGATGGCGAAGTCAGTGCCATTTTTCTTGTGGGTGCAGGAGAAGAGGGAGCGGTAGTGGGTGTGCACCCCTGGGGGAAGAGAGGGGGCACTGACATGGACAGACAGGGCTCCTAGGGATGGCTCCCCACTGGAGCTGCCTAGCCCCTGATGCCCCAGGGAATAGGGGTCCCTGTTTGGTGCAAGGCAGGGGAGGACAGCAAGGGGCTGGACCCCAGTAACCTCCTTAGTCCCCAACTGTGTCCCCTCGCCCCCCCTTGCCCCATGCCCCCAGGCACTTACAGCAAGCCAGGTGCAGCAGGCAGCAGCGAGATGAGGGCACCCACAGATTAGCAGAGCCAGTGTCAAAGACGACAGTGAAGCGCTGAGGGGGGGTCCCAATGCTAATCTCTCCGTAGTACTGGGCCTGAGGGAGGAGGGGGGCAGGCAGGGATCAGTGGAGAACTGCCAGAACCCCCTGGAGTCCCTACACATACTCTAGAGCCCCCCATTATTCCCCAGGACTCCCCATGCCCCCCAAGCTGCCAACAATCCCCAAAGCACCCCAACTAACACCCTGGAGAAACTCCCCAGGACCCCCAATACCCCCAGACCCTTCTGAATGCCCCCTACTGGTCTAAACTTCTATTGTACCCAAAAGCTTACAAAGAATTTTTTTTTAACTATTTAGTTGATCTAATAAAAGATATCACATTTACCCAAAGAGCCTTGTCTGCCTATGTCCTTAGACCAATATGGCTACAACCAACACCCCCTATAGCTGCAGCACCTAGTAGAGTACCCCAATAACACCGGGGAAGCCCCTTGACACCCTCCAGGGCTGTAGGTCTCCTCAACCCCTTGGAGCTGAAGAGATACCGACCCCCACAAACTGCCTTCCCCCCCTCTGTGTGTGTGTGTGTGTGGGACGTTATGGGGGGAGCACTCACGTCCATGTAGTTGTGGAGGCGCTGGGGGGCCACGGCCCGGTTCTTGTCCCCCCATTTGCTTTTCACCAGATCGGAGATGGGGATCCCCGTCTTCCTAAAGCGGTTCCGCACTGTGGGGAACTTTTTGAGAGGGACCCTGTTGACAGGGTTAGAGTTAATATGGGGGCAGCAGGCACCCTACCCCTGCAACCTTGCTGCTCCCCCACCCCGTGCCCTGTGCCCTGGGAGGATGTCCCTATGTCCTGGGCAGGGTGCATGCCACAGACGGGGTAGAATCAGGGCGGATGCCCTTGTGTCCTGGGCAGGGTGCATGCCACAGACTGGGGGCGGGAACAGGTTGGACAGGTCAGGTACAGCAGGGACATGGGCATCCCAGGCAGGGGCTGGTCCCTGTACTGGCATGTGGGAGTGGACCAGACCTGCTTAATCAGCTGAGCAGGATGGCCCTGTTCCCCCTGCCCTGGAGTGGGTAGCTCCCACCCACCCCAATTACCCATGTGTGGGCACCTGAGTCATCCCGGGCCTGATCCCACTGTGCCTGGATTGGCCTGTTGCCTACCAGCCAGCAGAGCCAGCAAGAGGACCCAGGTGTTTTGGCTCTGCTTGAACCACTACACCTCCCTTCTCTCCCTGATCTAAGGATAGGACCCAGCTGCCCAGGTGATCAGCCCTGCCCCCACCCCCATCCAACAGATCCCATTTCCCTCCTAGAGCTGGGATGGAATCTAGGCATCCTAGCTGCACTCTAACCACTACACCTGCCTCTCTGATCTAAGGATAGGACCCAGGAGTCCAGGTATCCAGCCCCGCACTCCCCTCCATAGGGCTGGGATGAAACCCAGGCATACTGGCTCCCTCTCCTCCCTGCTCTAACTCACTCCATGCCCCTTCCCTCCTAGTCAGGGAGAGAACCCAGGCATCCTGGCTCCCCTCTCTGATCTGAGGCTAGAAAACAGGAGTCCTGGCTTCCAGCCCCCACCTCAACATGCCCCACTCCCCCCCCTCCAGAGCTGGGATGGAACCCAGGTGTCCTGGCTCCCAGCCTCCCCCCCACCTTGCTTTAACCACTAGGCCCTATTCCCCTCCCAGAGCTGGGATGGGAGCCAGGATTTCCCTGCCCTAACAGGTCCCACTCCTCTTCCCTACCAGCCTTAGGGAGAGAACCCAGGAGTCCTAGCACACAGCACCCTTGCACGTCCCCGCATTAACCCGCTCCATCCTAGTCCCAGCCCTGCATGGGACCCGGGCTTCTGGGTGCTCACTGAATCAGCGCCTGGGTGTAGAGCGCCATAAGTAGGATGGCAGCCACAACTTCTGGGCCCCTCATGGTGCGCGTGTGTCTGTCCGCCCGTCTGTCCCGTCAGGAGGCTGCTGTCGGTCTGTCTGTGTCCCTGTCCATCCAGCCTCTGGTGTGGGTGACCAGGGACCTGCTCTAGACCATGGGATGACCTTGAATTCCCCACCGCCCACTGGCCTGGGGAAACTGGGAGTGCAATGCCCAGGGTGCAGCTCCTCATTGGCTGAGGCTCTTGAGTGCAAGGCCCAATTGGCCAAGAGAACTTGGGGCTCAGCACCTGATTGGCTGAGAGAGCTCCAGGGGTGCAAGAACTGATTGGCTGTGTGTCTCTGGAGCTCCAGGCCTCATTGGTCCTGGCTCCCAACTTTGCCATGAGCACCAGGTGAGTACCAGGCTGTAGGCAGGGGAGGCGCCCTGTGTACCCCACCCTAGTGACTCAGGGTGGGGGCAGGGACGCCAGCTCAGCCCTGGGAATTCCTAGCATCCTGCCCTGCACCTTCCCTGGAGGGGTTGAGGTCACAGCCTGCTGCTCCTACTCCCCACCCCCAGTCATCTCAAACCCTGGCTCCCTCCCCCTTGGCCCAGGGCCCCCACAACCCTGCTGGTGCCTGTCACTCCTGACCCAAAGCCCCCTGCCCTGCAATCTCCCATTCCTGCCACCAGGGGGCCACAGAGGTGCCCTGGCCCCCCAGCTGGATTGGGGTGGGCAGGGGGAGGGAGCCATGGGTTTCCACATGGGGTGACCCCCCCACCCACATCCCTGCTGTGTGGCTGGGGGGGGACAGGGGATGGGACAGGATGAGGGCTGAGCTGGTATCAAAGAGCGAGTGGGGATTGGGGGAGGGGGTGGAGGGTAGAAGGTGAGGTAGTGGGGGGCAGGGGTGTTTGTGGGGGCTGGGGTGCCATGGACAGGGGCAGATGGGGGCTGGGTGAGTGGCAGGCAAAAATATGGGGGGCAGAAGGGTTTGTGGAGGCTGGGGGGAGGGACAGGGGATGAGGCTCAAGCATTTTGCGGGGTGTGGGCAGGAGGTTTGTGGCAGGGTATTGAGGCAGGGGGCTAGCGGGGTGGGGGCAGGCGAGGGGCTGAGGCTGGGGGGTCAGGTCACTGACAGTCTTACACTCCGGTACTGATCAATATTTTATTACTGTTTCTGGGGTCCAGGGGGTGGTGCATAGAATGGGGCTGACCGAGAAGCAGGGGGGCTGCTCACTCTCAGGCTGCCTTGGGGTCTCACTCCCTGATGCCCCCACACACAAAGTGGGGGGGCTCTGGGGTGACAGGGCTGGGCGCCATGATGGACCCCACCATGGGGGCCCAGGCGGGCTGGAAGGGCCACATGGGGGAAGTCGGGGTTGGGGGCAGAGCCAAGCAGTCCCCTCCTGTCCATGCTGTGGCGGCGTGGGCTGTGGAGTACAGCTCCAGGAGGCTGGAGGGAGCAGGTCACTGCACTGGCTGCACATAGTTGGCGGGGTACAACCCTATGCGCCCTCCGTCCGTCACCCCCCGGCACCAGCCCTGCTCATCCTCATCCTCCAGCTTGGTCAGCTCCTCCCCTGCAAGCACAGGCCATGTTAGAGGGGGGGAGGAGGGGGAGGGGGTGTGCTCCGGCTGGGGCTGAGGGGTCCATGAAGGTCCCTCCACGGTGGTTGAGGGACACCATGCAGAGGAGCGTCTGGGGGACTCAGTGGGAAGGCCTAGTGAGCTTCAGGGATCTCATCTGTGGAGAGGCAGGAGTCTGGGTGGGGTTGTGGGAAGGAAGTTGGGGGGCTCGGGTCTGGGATCTCTGGGGGTCTAGGCCAGGAGCCTTCACTGTGAGGGGGGTGGGAGTGGACCTGGTGGGATGTGAGGGGTGCATGGGGTATAGCCTGGTGGGGGGGGGTTGAGGGATGGGTCAGGGGAAGGGCCTGGGAATGGGGAGCACGGTAGGGATCTAGGGCTGAGTGCCCCCATCCTCTTCCCCAAGGGAGCCCCTTCTGTTCCCTCAAAGCAAGGTACAGATGGGTTGAAGTCCTGGAGGGCTGTGGGAAGGGGAGTGAGACTCGGGTTTGGCTTCTCTGGGGAGCTCTGGCATCTGGGGAGTTCAGTGGGGAGGCCTGGGCAGCTCCAGGGCCCTCACCTGCAGAGAAGCTCAGCTCATCCGGCTCCTGCCCAGTGTAGTCATACACGGCCCGGACCCGCTGCCCCCGGCCTGGTCCTGGGGCTGGCATTGGCGGGGGCACCGGTGCTGGCAGTGGTGGGGCTGGAGGTGTTGGGACGGGCTCAGCCACGCTGGGGAGACAGGCTGTGGATGAAAGGCTGTACCTGGGTGTGGCT